AATCTTTACCTTTAATCTTTTTCTTTAATCTTTGTAATCCTTGATGTATTTGTATTCTAAGAATTGTATGTTTGGGTAATATTCTTTAACCCCTAAGACAAAAAAAAAATATCCTAGGARTCACTTCCTTTTTGGAAGCATGACATGTGGAAACTCAAGATGATGTAGCCTGCAGCCAAAGGACTTCTGTGTAATCTGAASTATTTTGTGATATTTACAGATGGAAGACTTTCTTCTTTGTGGWAGAATCTGTTTAAAATTAATAGGCTATGTTTTTTTTAACAGTTCTTTTAAACRTTTTATGATCTAGGCAATGTTAAATAACTGAGAAAATCTGGATGTTGTAATACTGTTTACTAATGTATTTAAGCAATCAKAATGAAAACTTTTATGGTGTAGATRTTATAGGTAAACAACACATGGTGGTCTGTTTTAACTGGAAACCCTAATATAATGGCTGCTTCTGCTGATGAGAATGTAGATAATCCCCCCATACTTACCCTTTCTTGAAAGGATACAAATTGTTGTTTGGTGTAGGCAGAATGAAGACAAGCTGTTCAGTATTTCAGTTGTAAATATTAAATATTAAGAACAGCATGTATCTGGTTCTGAAATATGTGGGAGCCTTGCAGTAATGTCAAAATGTATATATTCATCTGAATTTTGCTGATTTACTTGATTGTGACTGGGACTTTTTTTTTTTCTTCAGGGAAATTGTATCAATCTGACTGATGCCTTGACYCTGTATGAAGAACAGCTGAGCAGGCTTTATTGTCCTGTGGAGTTTTCAAAAGAAACTGTGTGCGTTCCCTCCTACATGGAATTGTATCCTTAAAAACTGAAAAAGACTGGAGARTGTGTATTAATAAATCAATCAAGCATACATTGGTTGGAGGTAATGAACTTAAGCAAAAAGGCAGTTCAGGTTTGAACTCTATAAAGGCTTTTTTCATAGTAAATGAACTACTGTAGTTTTATTTTGAGGATAGTTGCAGGAGTTGTTTTCTAAAAATGCTATGAATTCACAGCTGATGGAAAAAAAAATAAGAAACTAACTTCATACAGATTAGCCTGATCCATATCATTAAATATTGTCTGATAGATCTATTCTTGAAGATACAGCTCAAACTTGGTTTTTAAAGCTGGGGAATGTGGAAGAGAGTGATTCCTAACAATTATTAATGTTACTGGAAAAAAGTATTCCAAATGGAAGGGTATGCATATTCCTCAGCAACATCCCATTCCTAAAAATAACCCTTCAGAATTTCTTCAATTTGTGGGTGGCAGGGAAGTTATATAAGGAGCTAAAAGTTTAAATTTCAAGCCTTTAGCTTGAGAGGGGCATTTTGATCTGCTATAAGGTTGTTCTGCCAGCTGCATTTGCCTCGAGTATTTGCAGTTTTTATGAGATCTCCCTGGAAATGTTTCTGCTGGGTGAAGCATGCTGTGCCTGTCTCTCTTGACRGGAAACATCATTCCAAAATCTGCTTATTCAGAATACATTAATACTGCCACAGCCTTTCTTCTGTTCTGTTGTGTTCATTTTGTGTCTCTAATCCTGGTKCTGTTCCATTCTGCAGCCTCCACACTGACCCCATAGTGATTCTAACCAGTTCCTCCTCTTACAATTATCTGTGAAACTCAGATTTGACCTCACATTTTCTAGACAAAAGAATGTGAAGGATATAAAGATACTTGTCCTTAAAGTTTACAGTTTCAGAGAAATTGGTTATTCTTGCCTTTATGACTGCCAGGGCTTAGTGGAAAATACATGTGATTTGAACTGTAAGCATCCTTGAGCTGCTGAGTCAAAAAGAGAATCCAGAGAGATTTCACTTTTGAGTGTTTTGCCTACCCTTTATGAGCTACCAGAAGCTTTTCAAATTTGAATATAAGTAAAAAGGGCTGTATTGTAACTGTGTACTACATATGTTGCTTTTTTTTTTCCTTAACTGTATTTTTTCTCCAGATGGGTATTCTACACGATTTGGAAGAAGCAGACTGACATCTGAACATCAAGATTGAGATTATCCTAAATGTACATGCTGCATGGAGCATATAGGCCTGCCACATGCTGCATATTGGCATCTTGAACCTTTAAATTATATGCTGTAGATGATCCTGACACTTAGTCATGCTATTGATTGTGAATTCTTTAAATGTTTTTTTTTATTGTTATTTTAATTTAAAAGCAAATGGAAAATGTATATTTTGACGAGCTAGGGTGTTATTTTTGGAAGTCAACGATGAATAAGCAGCAAAACTATATAGCTGCTSTCTGCACTGAACCTTTAGAATGTGATCCTTTTTATTTTTTTGTAGATCCTCACAAACTGGTTGATTAAAAAAGACATCTTTAGCATTTCATCCCTGAAGGGTGGTCCATGGAGTCATTGTTGTTTTCGTTTTTCCAACAGATTTTTCATCTATGGTGCTTTTTAATAGATGGGAGAGGGTTTTTATGTGGTTTTGGTTTTTGTTTGTGTTTTTTTAATGAACACTGCAGTGCTTCCATATAGAGAAGGGCATAACTAAACAGAAAATCTTCTGAGAGGATACTCCAAATCCTTTGTTCCAAAGGGAAGAAAGCCAGTCTTAAACTTTTATTTACCCTATTTCATTCATCATTGCTGTAATCTCTGCTGCAGAAGAATCTTTGGCCTTTTAACCCCTGAAATTCTTTAGTTGCTGCCATATTGATTCTTTTTGATTCTGATATGGATTTAAGAGTAGGTTTGTACTGAAGCATGAAGATCAAAGCTGGGTTTTCATTCCACCACAGTGCACGAAGTTGTGTGTAATGAGATTCTTGTGGGCATATATTCTCCCCAGAATATGGGAAGCACTATATTTTTGAAGCAAGGTAAGAAATGTGGCTGTGCTGTGATCAATCTTTATGTGCACCTGTACTGAATGTTTTGAGGCAARTGTGTGTGTGCTGCAGTAGGGTCAGTGCTGGTTTTGCCACAGATGGCCCAGATTGTGTGAGGCTCTTTCTCAGATTCACTTGCAGTGTAAAAATCAGTGGAAGCAAGGTTGCATTGTCGTTCTGTTCTGAAAGAGAATGCTTTTTTTTTTTTAAATCAGTTTCTTATGTTGTCAAAAATTATATTTTTGTAAGAATTTGCTATGTATTGACTAAAAACTTTTGTGTTTAAAAAGCCCACTTGAAAGAACGTAGGRAAGATATAACCATTATGTGCATTTTTTACTTTTCCAAGATAGAATAAAAAGTGCACTGTTTCCCTAAACATTCCAATCATGAACAATAATGATATTTCATTCAACAGCTAGTATTAACATTTGYTTAGTTTTATTGGAGAAAGTTGATTTACCCCCCCCCCCCCAATATATTGTTAATGAAAACAAACCAAAAAGCTGTCCTTTATATTCTTAAACCATACATAAAGAAAAAAAATTATTGCATCCCACATATATAAACTGTTTATGGAATCTGGGTAGCCAATCAGAATTCCAGACTGATACTTGAAACCTTGCAAAAATTTGCTTTTTCTTCGATCTTTAATTGGTCTAAAATTGTTAAAATGTTTTCACTTTGGAGAGCCAGTAGAAGCATTTTTCAGTCCTACTATTTTAAATTATCTCATTTTAATGTTAATTCTCTAATATACAAGGGGTGCAGTTCTTCCATTGCCTACAGCTTGTGCATTATTAAATACTCCCAAAGAACAGAGCTTCCCTCTAAATAGRAATAAAGTGTCCTGCATTTCCCTGAGTGTTTTAGCTCTGTTGTAGGCATCCCAGAAAGTACCTTGATATAATCTAGYAGAGACCCTTCATTTATGATCCAGRACCACAATCAATTTATTATCTAGCTGCAAATGAATGCAGATATCCTGTAACCAGGTGTATCCATAACTTCTGCAAGCGTGAATATTTCCATTGGTTCTTAGTGTGATTGTGTAGGTGAAATGAAGCACAGGGGACAGAGCTTGGACTGTCTGTGTTCCTGAGTGAGCCTGGTAGATGTAGAAATCAGTCTCAACCAGAGGGGTTGGTCATCCCCCACAATGACATGGGGACCTGAATAGCTTATTCATAGGTGAGAAGCAGCAGTGCTTGCAAATTTTTCAGCTAATAGAGTATGGAGAGAGTTGGAAGAATTACTTTTTTTTCTGTAACTTTTTTTTTTAAATGTAGTGTTTTTGAAGTGATAGATGCAGTAWAAAGTAATTCAGCAAACACTGAACATTATATTTTTTTAAGTTGCTGAATTGATTCTGGCAAATATATACACACTGTAAGTCTTTATTTATTTGTTGCTGTAGTGTAGATTTTTTTTAAAAGAAAAACAAGTCTCTGTGTTAGCAGTTTGCATTTGAAAATTCTATAGGTGATCAGTTTTCCATGTTTAAGGCCAGTTGGGAAATAGCTATGGTTGCTGCATTATGTATGCAAACAGTTCCCAAGAGATGGTTAACATKAGAGGTTTCTTAATTATTCTTTGCACTAAATGCTGCTTCCACCTAGAAATTATTGATTGATAGTAGTTTATGYGAGGAGAAGACTGCTGGCATTGTATCTACTGCATCAGTGCAGTGCACATGTTAAAATAAAGGTACGCTATCATTGCTTGTGTGTTTGAATTGTTCAATCCATTGTGGATTCAGTGTTCAAATGATGGGTATTGATGGGTATAATGCCTACCATTGTACCTCCTTTTTCCTTTTCATATAAAGGTTCTTCAGGGTCCTTTCATTGAGTATATTTTCTCTCAGATTTATAAGTTCAGTTATTTTCCATATAATAAATACTCATATAAGATACTTTATAGCATGGAACAGTACCCTGATATATGTAATGGGGGGAATCACTGGAGGCTTCAGTGATATTTGCCTAGAAAGTTAATTTCCTCTMTGGTGTTTTAGATATTAATTTTTTGGAGGTCTCTAAGTGTAAGTTTGAGATTTTCTGCTAAAGTGGTAAGTTGGCTTTGGGTGACAGTCTGACTCATTKCATGGCACAGAGAAGAGACAGGCTTAGGATAAGTCAGTGTGACATTGAGAATGATGGAAAATGGCACAGAAGTTAAGGAAGAGGGAAAAGGGCATGAACAGGATGGGCACATAAAAGAAGTTACTGATCTTTCTGAATCACACCCAGAAGTAATATCATACAATGAAAGAAAAACATGACTTTCAGGAAACAGAGAGATTTGCATGAATTCCAGCTAACTGGAAAGAAATATTTACATCTGCATTAAGYACAGTGATAGGAGAAGGCTTGATAGTTGGGAAAAAGAAAGGGGGAAGGCTTAACTTTCTGAGGGGGGAAAAAAAGGCTCACATATAGACAAAAGGTAGAATAAGGACTAATTTTTTAGTGCCCACGTGCATGACAGGGAGGATAGGTGTCTTGCTTTTTTATTTTTGCTGTTTGAGAGTTTGAGGTGTTGACAGCTTGCTGGAGGGAACAAGGCAAGAGGACGGGTGAGAGGAAGAGAACTCAATTTCTTATTTTAATTGAGGAATRGGAGACTGCAGATGATGTTGCCTGTGGGTAATGGGAGAAAGCTGACAAACCTTGCCCACAGAGAGTAGTTGGAATCATTAGAGATGCTGAGGGAGCAAGTGAGTGAAGTAGTAAAGTAAGCAGGTGCTGCAGTTATTAATAATAGCACTGAGCAGCTTAGAAGTACCTTTTTGAAATGTGGAATGCTTTAGGAAGCAAGGAATGAGAAATGTGGAATGGGAACTGGGAGGATGTGAGGTTCATACAGTGGTCATGCATTGCAGTGAACTTGAGCTTGAGAGGTAGAATTGGAGAAGGTAAAAGGAAGGAAAAGAAAAATGTGAAATGAACTTCATAACTGGAAGTACAATGAGAAATATTCCTGTGCAGTTCAAGAAGGGGAAAGGATGCAGAGGCAAAAAAAGCATTAAGATGGAGAGGAACCAGGGAAATGAGCCAGGAGGAARGAACCAAGAAACAGCACCACAACGGATGTGGTGTGGGGATTTGGGGAACACATCTGGACATAKAAGAAAGATGCTGGTCCCAGTGCCTGGCCTGTCCTGGAATTGGATGGAGAAGGAAGAGAAATTTGAAACACTTGGGTTTGTTTTGTTGGTTTTTATTTTTTTTTAAACTGTGTAATGAGTGCAAGATGTCTTYTAAGTATTTTAGAAGGAAAAGAGCTTAACTGGTGGAAATGAAAAGAAGACTAAAAGGAAAGTTCAGATTAAGGAGTGTTTAAGGGTAGACTGATTACCCAAGCAAATGAATACAAATTTCATGAAGCCCAAAGGAAAGGAAACTGTGGGATTTAACTCTCATGAATTTTCACTGAGCATGGAAGGGTGGAAGGCAGAAGGATAAGAAGTGGCATCTCTGCTCTCTTCAGCTCATGGAACTGGAAATACTGATCAGAACTGGCAAATGTATGATARTWATGATTAAAAAGCACTGCTGCAGCCATCTGACTTCAACATACTGTGACTAACAGTGAAGGCACAGCACCCAAATACAGAAATATTTTGTTGTATAATGGAAACATCTTTGTGCAACTGTTCTTTGTATAGGCACAGAAATGCACCAGTGGAATAAAGCAGCAGTTTTAGTAGATTGGAATAACAAAGATGAGTGTGTACAGCTCTGTGAAGTCTTCTGTTCTGGTAGCTGCTAATGTTACCCAACATAAAAACTTACATATTTTTTTTTCTGTGCTTTGTCCTGATTCTGCTCTTAAGGTTCTCACTGGGACATCCTGTGAAATTGCTTCCTAATGTCTTGTAACACTTTGGTGTTTTCAATGRTGTTTTATAACTACTGGTTAGTTATTTGGGGTGGAAGGATGACAGATTTTTTTCAGGAAACAAAATTTTGACAGCTCATTGTTTAAAATCCCAATGAAGAATGACAGAATAATTATAGGAACATGCATTGACTTTTCTTTTTAGAAAGGACTGAGTACTGATAGAAATTTTTACCTGCGTCTTGAAATAAAGTGTTTCTATGACTATTGTAAAATTCTTACTGTACATATAACAGTTAAATATTAAGGAAATGGAAGTTATCTGCTGGCATTTTCTGGAGCTGGTTTGCAGAGAGCCATGTGTCTTAAGTTACAGGCAGGATGCACTTAATAGAATCACGAAGATAATCGAGTCTAACCATTAACCTAACATTGCCAACACTAAACCATGTCTGACTGCCCTATCTACTCCAGGAATGGTGACTCAGCTGCTTCCTTGGGCAGTTTGTTCACAATCCTTTCAGTGAAGAAAAATTTTTTTTAATAGTGTATTTTTTAATAGCCAGTGTATTTTTTAATAGCCAGTGTAAAACTGCCTGTGGCATTAAATGAGGCCATTGGCTGTTGTCCTGAGGCTTGTTACTTGGGAGCAAAGAGTGACCCCACCTAACTACAACCTCCTTTTGGGTAGTTACAGGGAGGGATAATGTCTCTCAAATCTCTTTTTCTCAAGGCTAGAGAAATCCTGTTTCCTCAGCTGCTCCTCCAAAGGTTTGTGTTCCAAGTCCCACAGAGTGAACCCCGAAGGCCCGTAGCGGCCATTGCATTGCTCTGTGTTCTGACTGTTAGATYTTCACCCGCAGCTGCAGCCTCAGCACCTCTGCCTGCACTTCCATGGCTGCTGGGACATGAAATGGGTGCCCAGAGCTTTGTTGCATTTCTTTCTGCAGTGCTCCAGAGTGCAGACATCGCCTGTGTGGCCCCGGCTGCCGAGCAGGTCCCTCATGGCACAGGTACCGGGGTGGTTTTGGGCCTGGTGGGGAAGGCCTGGCGGCCTGTCAGTGACAAAAAAAAAAAAATAGATACAAAACACACACAATAGTTTAAAAAAAAACAGAGAGAAAGAAGGACTTTATTGTGCGACAAACCTCCTTTATCCACTTTAGCAACCAGAGTATACATTTGTGTCAAACATACATTGGTTAAGAGACAGCTGTTTAATTAGTAATCAGAACRTAATTGGTGAGTTTGCAAAAGCTACAGTATTAGTAATGTTTATAATTTTTAGCCACCTGCGTTATCAATTTTACATTCTAATATGCTTTTCTCAAGGTTGTGTTATTCCTCCTCCATGTAGGCTGTTAACATCCCTTTCTTTTCCCAGGCCTCAGTCATACACAATAATTGGCTGAGTTTCAGAATCGGGGCTTGTGGGGCCACTTTCCCCCACAGATGGACGAGAGGGATGGTTACAGGAGCGGCCTGGGGTGTGCAGAAAAATGCTGCAGGGTGGAGTTGGGAACAGCCCCATGAGCAGGGGAAAGGGATGGGATTGCCCTGAGCAGGGCTCCAATGGAGCAGGGACCAGGCCAGAGGAGGATCCACACTGCTCTCCACAGCACCAGCACCAAGGAAAAAACCACAGCCCCTCTGTGGCAGCAGGGTTATCCTGAAGGAATGGGACCCCCCCTGGGACCCCAATCCCACTCTGGAGCAGGGGAAAAGTGTGTGGAGGATGGAGCAGCAGAGTTGGTAGTGAGTGAGCAGTCCCCTGTTCTGTCACTGTTGGCCAGACAGCCGACACAAAATAACAGACACAAAGACACACATACACACACACAAAAAGTAACCCCTTTATTCTGGGACAAGCCTCTTTTATCCACTTTAGTAACCAGAACATACATTTGTGTCACACATCCATTGGTCAGTGAGGCTGTCACTTTCTACTCATCAGCATAGGATTGGTAGGTTTGCAAAAGCTACATTGTTAGTAATGTTTATAATTGTAAGCCACCTGCATTATCAATTCTACATTCCAATCTCTTTTTCTCAAGACAGCCAAGGGCGTGGTGCTCTTCTCCCATGCAAGCTGTTAACACTCCCTACATTGTTCCTTGCACCCCTCAGGGGAACGGGGCGAGGAAGGGGCAGAGTGAATTTGAACCCAAGAAAAAGACTTTGGGTGTGAGAGGTGTTTAATCTTTGTTGCTCACTTCCCTGCCTTTTTAATTGGGAGCAAATGGAATCAATTTTCCACAAGTCTTTCTTGGTAGCTAGTAAAATGATGAACAGAATGGAAGCTCAGCTGAAAGGAACATCTAGAGCTAAAAGAAACATCTAGTCCAACTTCCTGACCACTTCAGAGTCCACCTAGCTTCCTGACCACTTCAGAGTGGCCAAAAGTTATTAAAGGGCATTGCCAAGTGCCTCTTCAATGCTGACAGGCTGGAGGCATTCACCACCTCGCCAGGAAACCTGTGGAGGGACATTTTTCTTAGCCCTCTTTTGGTAATGCATTTCTACATTCACATCTCCTGGAGCCCTGATGCTCAGATGTGGCATGCTGTGTTGTCATTGTGCATGTTTTTTGTTGTCCCAGGCGCTCTGGGGTGTG